TTCAGGCTGCTTCTGAGCTTATTCTTCTCGCTTTATGCATTTACAGCATTGGTAAGTGGAATGAAGAATGCCACAGCTTGTCTAAAAAACCAATGGAGGTGGGCAGAAAACGTAAAATGTTCATTTTGGGCGTACGTCTTAGTGCCTGCTGTGTAATTGCGGGATGACGGCGGGTTTTGAATTTAATCCATAGGTGAAAATTTGGCACGGGCTTTGTCAAAACTGACTGGTATTCGGTATGACCTTTAAGTTAGTGATGGTGATTTGTCCTCCTCTGCAGATGCTGCAGTTTTTTCCTCCTGTCAGACATCGAAGAAAACCATTGTTTCCCCAACTTTCTCTGGTATTTGTTTTCCTTTCAAGTTTCTTTGCTTAGCGCTTCTCGGATATCCCTGGCTGTAGCATCATCCATTTTCTCAAAGAGTCCGTTACATCACAAAGAGTGGTCTGTAAGAATCGTTGTTCCTGTGTGGTGCAGAGCTGCTGACATGATGAACTTTGAATAAAACATCTAAAACCAGTTTGTTTCCGGATCTAATGAGTACAAACTATTTTTTTCTCTTTTGAATGCGTAGCTTGAAATAATAGTTTCTTTAAGAAAGGATCGATCACTTCTCAGTAATCCAGCTTTTTAAGAGAATTCAGTATGAGTGATGATGAAGAGGAACCGTCCGAATCAATAATACCACAATTTGCTTTGGATGTGGCAATGACCGGCAAGGAACTGCCAAAAATCGTGAAAAGGAAACAGAACGATGTCGATTCTAATGTGGAGATTGAAGAATCTCCGGACGAAGAAGAAGAAAAGAAGGCTCATTCCAGGCAAAAGGTAATTTTTCTCAATTTGGGTCGTGTTCACATTCAAAAAGGTGCTATATTCTGCCACATAGTAAGTGGGCGGTTGCAGGTGTCGTTGACACTAATGTGTAAAATGGGGAAATCTGCCTGCAGATTGGAATTCAGATGTATTCCCGTTTTTTAGAAGTATCAGCAAAACTTTTGCTCAATTTTCAAGGATGTGAAATAGTTGTGATGTCAAGATGCTTTGTAACTTTGTTTTTTTCTCCTATTAAATATATTCCTAGTGGGCATCTTGTTGTTACACAATAGTAGTGGTGAAACTTGCGCAGGGGCTGCGTACAACGATTGCCCTTCTCGTTCAATCGCCCAGCCATCTTTCCAATGTAAGGTTCGAATCCCCGGCCAAGATGGCCGAAAACGGGGCCCTTTGCTATGGACCTTAATTTTGAACTTAGCCGTTATGACGCTTCGTAGGTGTCACGCCTATAGCTAGTTTCGCAATTCGCGAGTTTCGAGGATACGGAAACTCATCAGAATGTATGTATGTGACACATTCAATTCTTCGTGGTGTCAAAAAAACTAACAACAGTGTATTCATGAACCTTAAAACGCAGGCGATACAAATTCGATGCCTGAATGTGGGGTATGCCAAGATCTTTTTGCGATGGATTGATCAGGTGCTGCTTTTAGAAAGCTGTGAGGAAACAGACTTCTCTCACATCGTTCCTCTCCGCCCACCCGCCAGCGGATCGCATTGGAAGCCGGTTCATAAGCCACCGTCGTCCAAAAAGAAAGTAGAAGTTGTCAGAAAAAGTGAGTTTTTTTTTTGCTATGCTGTGGAGGTTTAAGTGCTGCTTTATTTCCTTTTCAGAAATCGCAATTGATCCACAGGAATCCCCCAAAGTTGGAAAAATGGCGTCGGTTGTGGCTGAGGTTTATTTCAAACTCGCATTATTCTGTCCATTGTTTCGACAAGTATGTGTTATTGATCGTTCAAGCGTAAATATTTTTATTAGGTGTCAAGTGACGATAACGAGAAACGTGATGATGAAACGAAGCGGCTAGAGCAATCAATACAGAGGGCTAGAAGGAGATCAATCAAACAGTATCTGGTGAAGTTACGTTTCAAGCCAATTATTTTTTTACGTTTCCATGATTTATTTCGTATAGCGTAATGCTTTAAAAAAGGTCACGGAAGTTTAGGTGTGAAGGGTCATGAAAGTTAGTGGTGGAGATCATGCGTGACAATTTGTATTCGACTGCTCATGTGGTTTTTTTTATGGGAGTTGTACAGTCTGACTTTTTTGTATTTTATTGGTGAAGTATCTCATCGGCCAGAAAGAGAATATGCCAATCTGTAGATAAGATGTGATAAGCTATGGCAAACATATCATCAAAAGGTGAGGTGAAATGGTGCCCAGTAGCCTAACCGGTGGCACAGTAGCCGGTAAGCAACTGATGCGGGTTCGTATCCCACCTGGTGCGCATGTTCTTCTCATGAATCGGCCCTCTAATCTGGTTGTGTCATTCCGTGCTGTATTTTCCTCTGAAAAAGGTTGTTAGTTGCTTTGCTACCATTTCTGTCGTATTCAAGACTTCTGTCCAAATTGAGTGGTTTTAGGATAAAGGACGATAGAAAAGGAAAAGCTGATACATGCGAAGAAGGCAGCGGAGACACCTAGACGAACGAAACAAAAAAGAAGCGCCACTACAGAGCAAGAAATTGATTTAGTGGCTTTGGATGACCAAACTAGGAATCCAGAAGTGGAGAAGCTGGCATCACTGAAAAAGGCTATGGAGACTCCCAGAAGAACAAAGCAGAAAAGAAGCACCACCCCAGAACAGAAGATTGATGCTATCATTTTGGATGAAGAAGCTGCTCCTGATGAAGAACACGAAGGGGACTTAGTTATGGTTACGCCTGTAGAAGAGGTGGCGAGGGATCTAGAAGTGGTATTGGAAGTTCCCAAAACATCCCGGTCAAAAAAGCGATTGAGAAACACGACACCGCGGATTATTCAGAAAGTTCGCTCCTCCATGAGTGTGGACGATTACCAAGATAGCGATTATAACAGAACGGCGTATAGCACGCCACGAAGAAAGGTTTCACGCCATCGATCTTATTCCCCTTTGAGCTTCAAATTTGATGAGGAGGATGGCGGCGTCTCCACAGCGCCTGTTATTCGTCGAAGAAGACCCAGTGGTGAAACGAGTATTTTTGATCTGAAAGTGGCTGCCGAGGACCAGGATCTAATCCACAATATAAGCCATCCATCGACATCTGGTTCAGTAGCAACTGCTGGCTTGGGCAATGAGTAAGTTCCATTTTCTATGAGTCACAGTCGTACCATAGGGCAAATCGCTTGCCATTGAAGAAATTCAGTATTTTGAACATTTGCGGTCCTCCAGAAATCCCTTTAAAGTCACCGCAGACCGTGCCGCGATATTTTTGCCTGTATGTGCGATAACAGGTGATCTGAGCGCTTTGTAGTGACTCCTGGTTGCTACTTTTGAAAAAGGCATTGGATACGTTAAGTTATCTCTGATTTTTGCAACAAATTGTCCAAAGACCTGTTTGAAACAAATTCCTAAAATTATCGAGAAATTTCCTAGGTAGTGTATCACATCTAGCATATTTTTCCCCAAGAAGTTCTTCCTGGTTCTATTTATTCAACTCGCTTTTTCAGAAGTGGTACTGAGACTGCTATGATTGTTCTGGATGATGACGACAGTGACAGGGGCAATGAACCTGGTGGTACAACACCTCACCCCTTCGCGTCTAAAGCAGTTTCAATGCTGGAAGATCTTGGCATTGTGCAAGCAACTCAACCTAGGGATTCTAATGGTTCTCGGCTCATCACTGTTGACACTGGTTTTGCAAGTAGTTCAGTGGCTACAGCTTGTGAAGAAAGCACGCAGAGTTCAAAGAGTGTGGGGTTTTCCTCTCAAGGTAGCAACACGAGGGACCGATGTAACACAGAAGGCGAACATGACCACAGGACTCCCTCGCCGACGAGCACGGATGATGAAATTGTCGTTCTGGGAACGATAGAAAGGACACCCACGAAGTGAGTTTGCTTTTAGCTCTCCGCATGCTGTTTTTCCCAAGAGCATGGTTTTTCCAATATTTTCGTGATTGTGTATTTTTTCCATAGTTACTCAAACGAAAATATAGTGGAAGGTTTAGCAGTTGAGAGTAAAGCCATTTTTTACTGAATGGAACAGTAGTCAGAAAATAGTGGATGTAATCTTTAGCCCGTTATGATAACATTGAGATAGTGATTTGTAAGTTGATCCTCCCTATGTTCGATGCACTCTCCTTGATCGCTGCAGATATGTGCAGGTCTGACTAGCCAGGGATATTCCGATTGGGTGCAAACTTCTGCTTTTGTTTCGTTTCCGTGAATGCCCACTTTATCACCTTCGTCGTGTGTTCTTGTTACTTGACAGTTGTCGTCTTCTTTCACTTTACAGTTGTCGTCTTCTTTGACGGTGTCGTTATGCGAATAGCTGGCTCGTACCTGTTCAGATCAGCGTCTCTGACGGCAAACCTACTGTATTCTCCTCGCAAAATGGCACTGAGTAACGAACAGCGGCGTAGAACTATCCTCGCCAAAAGCAAAAATAATTACGGTATGTAGCTGAGAAATTTGTTTTACCGAGTGGAGCTGTATTCGTTCATAGTAGGCTGTCGTTTTTTTTTCTCAGGCAGAAACTATCTTACTGAGATCCCTTGTTTTTAAATCACATCATATACAGAGTGAAATAGATAATCTGCTCTACAAAAAACTTGTTTTCTTCCGCATTCATTGCAAACACATCAAAAATCGATGTGACTTATGGTTAGAGATCAACTAGGAAAACAGAATTTGTGAAGAGAAACTACAAGGCTTCCGATAACAACAGCGAAATGTTTGGAAGATTTCGCGACTGAGTAGAAGATACCTACATCACTGATCAGTCTGCTGGGGGCAAAGAGTTAGTTAGTTGTCGGTTCAACTAATTTTCGCCGACTGAACCTCCCAATACCCAAGCCAAACTTCAAGGATTCCCCGATTGGATGTGGGATTTGAAACATAATGTGTTGTAAATTGGTTCCGGCTGGGCAGTATTGATGATGTAAAAACATGAGATTTGAGTGCAAATTTTTTGTTTGAAAAAAAAAGTAACGCTATGGAACGACATAATGGATCGATGACTGCTTCAGTTTTACATTATGATTTTTTCAGATATTTTTCCTGATCTAGACAGGCTGGTACCCGGTGTCGATTATTGTGCTTTCCAAGTCAGGTCCTTAGGAGAGGGTACGTAACAATCCTTTTTTGCTCGGTATGATTTACCATTTGAATAGACGTCATTCAGACAAGCCGCCACTGCCCATGCCAGGGCAGTGTAGCGATACGAGCCTGAGCTTTGACAATCCAATGGGATTTGTTCGATTACCATGGTCCACTGCCAACATTAACAACGGATTCCATCAGTCAGTCGAGGCTGTAGAAGAAAAGTTCATTTCTTGCGTCTGAGAAATTTGCTACTACTCTAATTTTTCATGAAGTTCTTCATTTTCAGGGATGTCATCATAGACAGAGCGCTTCGTGCACTCGTTAATGACGGAGCGCACTGCATTGAAGCTGTCATTGTGAGTGAAGTATTTTTTGTTGACCTTTTGCTGGAATCTGCGAATATTGGCGACTTTCTGGAGATCGTTGGAAATTGCACCGGAAAGTTGACAACTGCTTTCAAGGTCACGCTGAAAGAATGTGCGCCCTGGATCAAGTCGTTTGATGGCCTGCTTGGATTCATGGAAGGATTATCTTCAACGGAGGAACGAAATGCTCTCTCGATGTAATAACAGGCATTGCAAAGCTAGCAGTGAATGCGAAGTTCATTCTAACAGCGGTCGGTAAGAGATTGTTTCATTTTCGCAGCTCCAACTATATCACGAGAGAATATTTTAGGTGCACTATTTTGTATGAACTGTCGTCATTTTACCAAGTTGATTTCCCCTAACTTTCTCCTCAATAACCTTTAGCACTTGCGAAGTGACAACAAAATTTAATGGCTTACACCCGAACTTAGCACTTTTTTTGGGGTGGGGTGGGGTGGGAAGGGGGGGTGGCGGATTAGCAGGGTAAAGGGTCGGTGCTCATGCAATGTGAGGAAGTCTGCAATGAGTGAGGATGCCTAAGGCCCAAGATACTTTCTTGGGAAACTCTTGCCTTCTATCCAAATCCTTAGTGGCTGCATCCGATCCTACCCCCCCCCCCCTACGGTTAGGGGAAGAAAAGAATCCTTCAAATTCATTTGTTTTCAAAGTAGTCTTCCCTTATTTCCGCTCTCCTTTGCTGAAACACACATATACATTAGAAGTACAGTGCGTTTCAAAAGTATGTGCACACCCTCAAAATTCACGTTTGAAAGGGAACCATGAGGTTTCGTGCTATGAAATCCTTCTCAATCGATTTCTCGTAGTCGATAACCTATCAATGGAAGCAAAGCAGATAATATCGCCTCACTTTCGAAAAAAATTTTTGGATGAAATTTTTTTCTTTGTTTCAAAAGTATGTGCACACTTAACAAAAGACAAAAACATAGCTGAGATTAGAAATCAGTGGGGCCTCCAGAGTTTCTAATTAGCTCAAACATCCTGTCCGGCATAATCTGAACCACGTTTGGCATAGCTGTTTCGTCGCTGTCGGCCCAAATAGCCTCTACCGCCGCCTTCAGTTCATCCGCGGTATTATACTGCCGGTTGCTAAAGTTAACGCCTTGATCAAGGGCTCCCTATAGGGTTGCAGTAAGGAGGACACACAAGCCAATCTATCGCTTCAGCACCATTTGGTTAAGGCCATTCTTTGGTAGATTGCGAAGCATCGAAAGACACGTGGTCCTGTTGCCAAAATGCAATTTTCGCTCCGCTTCGCTAAGGAAAGGTCAACAGGCGACATTGGAGCACTGCTTGGTATTCTTTACAGTTCATACGCAATAATGGAACGGCAACTTCTGAATTTCCTCTGATTGCGAAACCGCCGCAGACCCATCAACGGGCCTCTTCCGAAATTCCTTCTCGAGAGCAGAAGCGACTCTCGGCCAAGCCTCTCCAGTAGTAGCAAAATCCACCCGGCCCGTCAAGATCGAACTCTTTCCATGAGTTAAGATTACCTGAGGAGAGAAAGTCCATAAAAAGTTGCTTGTTTTGAAAATAGGAAATTCTCGAAAAACCGTGTCTTCGCCCGGTGTCCTATCCTATGTTGCCATGTCTGTACGAGCAGACTCCAATGTGGCTAACTTGTGCTGGGCCTTGAAGTGAGTAGCCTTTCTCAGCGTCTGTCGAGTGGTGTATTCATTTGAGCGGATGAGGGGCTTAGTGGTCATTTTCGAGGCTGGAATAAAAATCTGAGCTCGGACTGTCAATGAAGAATCCGACAGGATGTGGGCTACTCTTTTGTTGTTCTGAGCAGTCAAGGATCGTGGATGGAGCGGAGTGTGTGCTGAGTATAATTATCAGGGTGCCAGATAAATCTTCGAATGCATTAAGGAGAACGACCAAGTTATCGTGCGATTTCTAGATTGGAACGTTCATTATCATGCAGAACCTTGATCTGAGCTTGCTCATCTTCAGGAAGAAGTATGGCGCGAATTGACATGATGACGAAATGAAAACAGCAAAGTCGGATTGAAATCGGTGGAAAATTCGGCGCCAAAATCTGATCTTCTTCAAGTGTGCACATACTTTTGAAACAAAGAAAAAAATTTCATCCAAAAATTTTTTCCGAAAGTGAGGCGATATTATCTGCTTTTTGCTTCCACTGATAGGTTATCGACTACGAGAAATCGATTGAGAAGGATTTCATAGCACGAAACCTCATGGTTCCCTTTCAAACGTGAATTTTGAGGGTGTGCACATACTTTTGAAACGCACTGTATGAAGCTTTCGCAGGAAGATTTTGTTGAAAGACAAAGAAAATTTAAAGGGATTTTTTGTTCCTCTAGCCCAGGGGAAGGATAGGATACGGTCGTAGCCCTCCAAGCCTTGCTCTTCAGTCTTCGGCTGCATTTCACTCGGTAGATAATCGGAGACGTTTCACATGTACCCAATAGAAATTGGCTGCTTTGTTGCTCAATACAGGAGCACAGTATAATTCTCAACATGCGTATTGTAGTTTACTCTCATGTATTTAGCCGGTGCCACTGCTACGAGCTAATCGGAGCAATTCTGTCACGCTCAGTCAAGAACAGTGCGCATGCTTATTGGCACATGCGTTCTTTTTGCACATATCGAAGGGAGCGCCACAGCTTTAATCGTATAAATATGGCCAGGTAAGTACTGTTTGTTGTGAAAAGATTTTTCTTCACATTGCTAACCATGCGGATACTTTTAGTACTCTTCCTTTTATCTAATCGTTGACTGTCGATTCGATTGTCTGTCGATTAATCCATGAATAGTAAAAATGGTGAACATTTCAATGTTTTCAGCCTTTTTGATGGTCGAAACCGTTTATCTCATGTCAAGTTGCGTTTTATTTTGCACTATTTCACAATGGTGCTCAAAAAGATGCCTACTGGTTGCGTGTCATTCCGACGTGAAGTCCTTCCCAGAGAAGCACTCCCAGATTGGGAAAATGAGGAAGCTTTGGTGAGATTTTGTTCTCAAATTTATTCAATTCATGCAACTGTGAGATGATTTTTCTTGTCACTCAGAAGTTTCAGATGCCTCTAGTAGCTGTAGCTAGTGATGGTTCTATAGAGGATTCGCCTGGATGTTTGCAAGTAGATTTTGCTAATGAGTACATCGGTGGCGGAGTGCTCAATTCAGGAGCAGTACAGGTGAACAAAGTTGTCACCATCTAAGTTTTTCTCTCTAACGGTCTTTTTCTTTCAGGAAGAAATTCGGTTCCTCATTTGCCCAGAGATGATGGTTTCATGTTTGTTGTGTGAGAAAATGGGCCCCCAAGAAGTAATCCATATCATCGGTGCACAACGTTACAGTAGCTATTTTGGTTACGGTAGGTGAATTCAACTGGAAGAGGATTGCGTCTGAATTCTCCACCTGCTGGATGTAACATCAATTTCAGCTGGCTCACTAGAATGGACTCCTTACGAAGACTTTGGTTCTGAGCCAAGGGACGAATTCTGGTTTGCTTTTTACATCCTCTGTTTAGTTCTGCACTCTCTATCACGCACTTTTAATTAGCTTATTTAGTCGCATAAAATGTGAGCTGGTAGCAATGGACGCGAAACTGTTCAAGCCCAATTTCGCAAATGCTCAGTATAGAAAGGAGAATATTGATCGTGAGCTTAATAAGGTAACTTCTTTTTCGCATGTCTGTACATTCAGTGTACGGAATGCAGTTGACCAAGTCGGTTGGTTGCGTCTATGGCGGGATTAAAACCTGGGTCGGATGCAGTCGATCTGTTAAGTATATGTACATCGGAAGAAGGTGGCGGAAAGGTGCCCTCGAATGCTAGCGTTTCCGGCAATGCTCATAATGAACGTTTTTCATCAACCATGCCTATCTTCCTTAGCTGCTTCTATCTAGTGAATTTAGAGCGTTCACTAATTTGTGCGAAAATTACCTCATGTCTGGCTATTTTCATATTTTCCCTAGTGCTAGAGGTGACCGAAGCGTCCGGCTTCAGCGATTAGTGCCTCTGTACACGTACTCAGTGTTCGCTTAGTGTGATTTCTTCAATTTCTCTCGTTTAGGCATACATAGGCTTTATGCCAAAGCAACGAGACGCTTGTCCTGTGGCGACCGGAAACTGGGGCTGTGGTGCTTTTGGCGGTAACAAGGAACTTAAAAGTTTGTCCAGCACCATTTTTATCACATTTGAACGTTCGAAGTACTCTGTCTTTAGGTCTGATCCAAATGTTGGCAGCGGCCCGTGCTGGTCGTGATATGATTTACTACACCTTTGCAAACAAGCGGTTCGAAATCAGTATGAATGAACTGTACGAGAAGTTGCTGCACAAAAAAGCAACCATTGGTGAGAATTTTTTCATCGGCGAAGTTGAAATTGTGCAGTCGAGAACCGTTGCGGTGATTTGTTCTGTTCTGTTAAGCGCCGGGATCGAGCTCACCAGTAGGATTCACCTGGCGAAAGAACGTGATAGCTCTGTACCTACAATAGTCGTGCCCACCTTCGTCGCACAAAGTGCGCGGTTACAGCTAATAGTTACGGACTAGCAGTCATTGCAACCTTTCTTCCCCACCGCGCTCGTCGTAAGGATCAACGATGAAGGCTCCCACTACACGCAATGTTGTTTACGTCATAGCGGCTGATAGCTTTGCAAGTTCAGTATAATCGGAAGATAGCATTTGATGGATAGCATTTGATGCGGCTGTGTTAAAAGAAACACGAACACGCCCCTCCTCCATGCTAAGGTGCACTGTAGCTACAAGAAGAGGCCTTGTTCGAGGCGGAATTGGAGGTTTTCTTGATTTCTTTTTCGTTTCTCCCATTCCCGCCCCAAGTTCATTATTGAACGCTCTTACACACCTATTTATTCCGTGGCTTTTAACTGATGTATTTGTTGTAGTCTGCGATGCAGATATAATGTGAAGAAGGTTGAACCATGGTTCAGGCAGTTTGCTTTCGTGCGCTATCAGCTTCATGTGCAACGAGATGAAAAGTTTCTTGTATGTGTGGAAAAGTTTCTAAGTCAAGGCCGCTCGGCCTTCATAGGCGCTCAGCGAGCATTAGAGTATTGTGTGTTGGTGCGTTGTTGTTGTTGTTAGTGCGATGCGGCTTATGTGATGGGAAACCTGGAGCGTACTTTCGGTATCTTCAATGTTCCATGGTGCAATGTAGGCCGACGGCTTGGCGGTGGTTACCCGATTCATAGTGGAAGTCGCATGCCCTTCTTTTTCTTGCTTGCTTGTTTCGTTGTGGTTGATGAGACAATTGTGGGCGTGAGTTGTTTCCAAGACAGAAAGTTCCGCT